TTTCAATATTAATTTAAGTATTAGTAAATAGTACTACTAGTATGGAATTGCTAAATTTATTTGGATCATTTAATTTGAAAAATGTTTTTTTAGAACCAACAAGGATAACATCCTCTACCGCCACCTGTATTGATAATGTTTTTTCTAATTGTGACTACAAAAAAACATATTAACTATAAATAGCTTGCCATACTGTCACTGTGGACTAATGGTTGCGTATAGCTCTTATTTAACTATGCTAAAAATAACATTTCTAGAAAAATTACGGTAAAATTTGGAGAATTTGAGCAATTCTTTAGCTACTAAATTATGTATGAAATTATTTGATACTATTAATCTGAATAAATTCTACAACGATGCATTTTGCATTTTATGCACACACATTTTGCCAATAAAAATAAAGTTATTCATACCAAATTTGTATTTAACGATTGGGCAACTGTAGGTATTTGTAAGAGTAGGGACAGACTTTTTGAACTTTATGGTATGAATTTTTTTTGGAATCAATTTCATCAGTATGAATCAATTTCATCTTATTCAGAGTATGCAGAGGCGCAAGACGTCTTTATATTAGTAATACAAAAATCAGCTGATGATAAGATAAAAACTAGGAAAGTTATACATAACGACATTGGTAGGAAAAGATTAAGAAATTCAGAATTTGATTTAAATACCGAAAGGGGACAGATTTCATTAAACGTAGATGTAGCCCAAGTGTTTGAAATTTTTTTACCAACATGCCTATCAAAACAACTGAAAATTTAAAGTCATCAGAAGTTTGCAAGTCACTCATTCAAACTGTAGCGTCGTATCTGGTTGTGATTTTCAATAAAAGTATAGATGACGGTGTTTTCCTTGAGCTAATGAAATATAGTAAAGTTATCCCACTATTTAAAAGTGGTGACACTAAAGAACCTAACAACTATAGGCCAGTGTCTGTTTTGCCGGTTCTCAGCAAGGTCTTTGAAAAGTGGATGCTGACCAACAACAAAACGGTTTCACTAAAGGTCGTTGCACAACTGACGCCGGTGTCACTTTGATGAAGGACATATTTGGTGCTTGTGACCTCTCAAAAGCATTTGATTGCGTTGACCACGAGACACTTTTGCTGATATTAGATCACTACGGGATAAGAAACTCTGCGCTACGTCTTATGAAATCTTATTTAGAAGAAAGACAGTTAAAGGTTCATGTTAACGGTATTAACTCACAGGGCTCTGGGATGAATATGGGCGTTCCTCAAGGTTCAATATTGGGTCCCTTTCTCTTTTTAGTCTATATATATATATAAATGATTTGCCAATCATATTCAAGAATGAACCAAGATGGTGAATTTTGCAGAAGAGAACAGCATTAATTTTTTAAAATAGATCGATGTGGACTATTATTTATTTTGTATTTGTTGACGTTTCAAAAGTACCAAATTATGGTTTGATTGAAATAAATGCTTTGACTTTGACGTTGACTTTAGAGTCTAAATACCAAAAAATCGTCTCGCGATTTCAATTGCATCCTGTACATATAACCATGACAATGTAGTAGTTGTGGACCACGAGAAAATCCTGTCTGGACCCAGGCCTGAGGTGGATGAACCTGGCACTAGATGTCCTTGAGTCTTGAGTTATTTCTTGACATGAATGAGAGGAATGTTTTTGCCAACGACAATGCAAATACAGACATCTGCAATACTGAATATATATTATTATTAAATGCTATTTAAATAAACAAGTCCCAAACTTGGCACAGAACAATGTAGGTAATAATGTATTATGCATCGATTGCTTACCATCAGGTGATTCGATTGATTTTTTGTTCTCCTGTTCCATAAAGTACATAAATGGATACAATTGGCTAGTTTCCTAGGTTTAAATTAAATTGTTTCAACTTTTGAATGCAATAAATAACACATAACATAACAACATAACATAACATCACGCCTTTTATCCCCGAAGGGGTAGGTAGATGTGCACATTATGCCACTGTACAATGTAACACCCATTTTTTATTATTTATGATAAGAGTCCCATGTAATAAGGGGTGAGCCTATTGCCATATACCGGGCACACTTCCAGACTCCGTGCTACTACTGAGATTTTTTTTAAAACCCAGTAATACTTTGCCCGACCCGGGAATCGAACCCGAGACCCCTTGTCCGGCAGTCGCACTTGCGAGCACTCGGTCAATTTACACAATTTATATAAAATAAAAGTCGATACCGATTTTTGACCATCACCTAACTGATTGTGTTAAGTGTTCACATTTGACATTCCAATTTATATTTAGGCAGTATGAGAGATAAGGAAAATAAACAGAATAATACGCATACTTTATGCAATGAGAGCTAACGAGATGCAATTGACGACATCCGTTCTGATTAAACTTGACAAATGCGCTCTACTTTAGGTTATTGACATTGTATTTAGAACTTTCATTATGACACACATAACATAACATCACGCGTTTTATCCCCGAAGGGGTAGGCAGAGGTGCACATTATGCCACTGTACAATGTAACACCCACTTTTCGCTATTTATATTATGAGTCATATTAATAGGGGGTGAACCTATTGCCGTATACTGGACACAATTCCAGACTCCATGCTACTCCTCAGATTTTTTTTAAAAGCCAGTAATACTTTTCCCGACCCGGGAATCGAACCCGAGACCACTCGGCCAACGATGCAGTATAACCGATCTCTGCTCGTTGTTTTCTAGTACATAATTATAATGTACTAGCTTCTGCCCGTGACTTCGTACGCGCAGTCCCGTTTTCTCCCGTTCCCGTAGGATTTTCAGGATTTTTTCTGTCGTAAGAACCTTCTCCTGACAATAATAAAGACAACATAAGAAAGATCAGCCAAATCGGTCTAGCCGTTCTCAAGTTATGGCGTGACAACGGGAAATGGGTTTCATTTTTATATATATAGATTTAAGAAAAGAAAAAAATTCAACAAATAAATAGAACAAAACATTAAATCTAAACAAAAAATAAAATAAATATTCGAACCGAAGTTTGCACCCGAATGTCCCGCTTAGAAGGCCCCCGATTTCCCCACTACTTAAACGTTATGTCATGACGAAATTTAGCTTCGTATTCTAATAACTATTTTTATTCAATAAATCAAGGACAAAACGACAATTTATGAAAATGATACCAGATCGATTTATCGCCCCCGAAACCCCCTAAATACAAAATTTCAAGACAACTGATGAAGCCGTCTCCGGGATCGTTGTATATTAAGAATGGCTCGTTTAAAAGTATTAGATGGCTCACAAATAATAACTAATTACTTTTAAACTACGTTTAAAAACGCATACTTCAAACCCCTCTTGTCGGTTAATTAATATATCTTAAGTGTAATAAAATACTTTTCTGACAATCGCATCAAAATCGGCTGAGTCAATCGCGAGGAGCCCGCGCACGAACATGTATGTACATTTTTGAATTCGGTTAAAAACACAACCTTTATATAGTACTCTGTGACCTTTACTATGGAGGAAATCATCGAATGACAATCCCGCCCTGGGTAAAGTGAGAAGGAGTATCAGCCTCTTACGTACGGCGCGTCGCGTTACGCGCGCGCCTCTAAGAGCCATCAGACCACCACGGATCCGGCCCAATAGGGCTGATGCCGATTCGGAGCCGCGGAGAACTTAACGGTTTAGCGGGGCTCCGGCTCGAAGTGCAGTAGAAGGAACGGGGTGGTTTTTAGTCAGGAAGAGACATTCCCTCCCGCCTCACCCAGGCGGGAGCAGTCATTCGATGATTTGCCCCCTTAAAAAAAAACTGGCTAAAAATCACTGCGTTCCAACTCCTTCCTTGAGCCAGGTCGAGGTCTGTCAATCTATCATTGCCACAGATCTTTTATCACATCTATCAGCATTGCGCTTGACTCGCTAGTTGCGGCTCGCAACGATAATTGTACGATACGATACATTGTCCTAACAATACGTAAATAACATGACTAAAAAGGAACTAGTTAGATCCACTTCAGTCAAGTCGTTCGGGAGATATTTATTTATTTATTTATTTATTAACGCTTCATGCACAAAGTGTACACAAGGTGGACTTAATGCCGCAGGCATTTTCTCCCAGTCTGACCTTTGGGTGATGCAGAGAAGAGTGAAAGGTAGGAGCAAGAAGCAGGCAACGATTTAATTGAGAAAATAGAAGATTATATTAACATATTTCAGAAATGAACATAAATAAATATAATAGTAATACATATACCTATACCTAATAGATATGACCGCACATAAATATTTAGTATATCGTCCCCGTAGTTGGAAAACTAAATAACTCCGATTTTCTAGTTTTGAGATAAACGCGATTTAGTGTTTTTTTTTCAATTAATGAGCATTTGTTTAAAAAATGTAGACAATTTTACTGTCAGTAATTTTATATTTGGTGGACCTGATTATCTTTAACATTATCCTTAAACAAACTGGACTCTATCTTCAACAATAACTAAATAATATATATTAAAACCAAGTTGTTTAATTTTGCCACAACTACTTTTTGTAACGTAACTGCAATTAGTTATTTATTTCGGCTATTTATTTAGTTTTTCTACAACCTAGATCCATCTGGTAGAGTAAAAGAAGGTGAAATAAATGCAGTTATTAAATTTATCAAACTTGAAATATGTTTAAATGTCAAAGTTGAACGTTTATTACTTTTATACTGTCTAACTGTTATTAATACCATTAAAAATAATAAGCTGTATTTTGACATAAAGTATACTTTATTAAAAAGTAACAACAAATCAAAGGTATAGCAATCATTATAAAACTTTAAAACAACTCAATTCAAATAAAAATAATTCTTCATTGGTAATTTAGGAAACACAACCAAAATAAAACTCAAAAAATAATATGGCTCATCAGGTACATTGAGTACAAAAATCAACAAACTTCTAATATCAATTACTTAAAACTATTGATCCTACAATTAAGTAAAATAGAACATTTAAAATTCAAAACAATTGAAATGTCTGTACTTAATCAATACTGAAAGTTAAATGTAAGAGACATAAACAAAGGTATAGCAACTTAAAATAAAAACTACCTTCATACACATTAAATAAAACACGGCGTATGTACGTAATTTAAAATCACGTAAATTTAACAATTTAATCTCTAAAAACTCAAATAATTTTGTTTGTTTTGTTAGGTTTCAACAAATCACTAGAATGTAAAGCAGGGGTCAAAATAAGTTTAATCATCGACTTCAGAGGAATCAGTGCAGGGTGGAGTACCCTGGTCTTCGTTTAAGCATGGTAAACCTTCGTACCAGCCATGAAGCTCTTTAGGTATTATTTTTTTCTTACAAAGCTGTAAAAGATCTTTCTTCTTTTGTTTGGTTATGGGAAGACATTGTTTATATGCCCGGGGAAGATCTTCAGTGTTTATAGTTGGTATTTCAGAGTTTTGTGTGCTTCTAGTTGGTCTCCCTGGTTTACAAAGAGCATTTAATAAATTATATGGCCCATCGTAATCGTATCTGTATTTAATAAAACCAGGTAAATCCTTTTGAAATCTTAGACATTTTATTTTCAGCCAACACACCTTCTCCCCATTCTCCGCTATAGTTTTGTTTTTAATTATTTGTGAAGAAAGTGATTTTACATCAATCATGTCTTGATACGACAATTCAGTTACTTTATACGGATTCACATTTTTATTTTGTCTTTTGGATCTTGCCCGTTGCATAATTCCCTTCCAATCTATTATAGAAAACGTGTCTGTGTATTTTTTTTCTTTTTCTATTGCGCTGTGCATCGAATCTACCTCCATATAACTATGACCACTTTCAAGATACTTTTGTTCTAACACTTTTATTGTCCTATGTGTATGTACTAAGTACAATAAAAATGCTGCTATGTACTGGTTCCGGTTTTGTCCCGAGCATGTGTCTGAATAAAGGGTGACGTGTGTGACAGCCTCGGGTAGATTCTTAATCCATAAATAAATAGCAGATGCTATTTCCACACTGCCTCTTTTGCCGTTTATTTCCGTCCAGATCATACAGTGAGCATCGTTTTGTGGAGGTTTAAACTCATAAATAGATAAATTATATAAATTTAATTTTCTGGAATAATACATTAGACTATCTGCAGTCGATGGAATCTGCAGTAGACTTTGCAAGTCCATGGTGACACACATATATGAATCATCTTCTTCCGACCTCTTCTTATCCAGCTCTTTAGATCTATAAGACGCCTCTTTTCGCTCTATATGCTGAGTATATTCATTAAGGATATTTATATTACTTTTATCTTTATTGTAATTATTACACGTGCTACATTGGTCCTTCTTGGGATGATAGAACGCTAAATTGTATTGTGTGCCAAATACTTTCTTATAAATGTTAAATTTAACTGGCACTTTATTATTTTTTTTAATTTTCTGCACATACAAATCATACATTTTTGATATTGACAAGGTAGGCTCTAAGTATTTCCTGTTTGATTTTTTTCTACAGTAATGGGAATCCATTACAGGAAAACTTTCAATGTGATCTTTTACGTCTTGTATCTGTTCTTCAGGAGTTTTGTTTGCAGGCGCTCGTCTACCACGGTTATCTATTTTTGTAAATGCACCATGATCATCCACGTGTTTTACTGCTGTTTCAATGGGACCAGTAGAAATGCAAAGAGTGGACATAAAATAATTCTTGCACACTTGTTCAAATACAGTCTTATTTTTATAAAAACCATATTGTCTGCTAGTACTTCTTTGTTTGTCGATCGGTACAGATTTTCTTGTAGTCTGCACCGGTTTAATGATGATGCGCTTAAGCAGAAACTCTTTTTGTAGCTTATAATCTTGTATAGACCAATAGTGTTTGCAAATTATTTCACGCTCGTTTTGTGTAAACTTTTCTGTGCATTTTTGACGGCAACTATTGCTGCATTTAGGACTTTTAGGTAGTTTAGCTGCACAAAGCTTTCCAGTTTTACTCTTATATGGCAAACATTTTCGTTTCTTCTGTAACTCTTTGTTTCTTTTCCAATTTGTTTGATTACTTTTCTTCCATCTGTAGTTTTTTTTTTCCTTATTGCCTGTTTCTGTTTCTGTTTCTGTATCTGTTGTTTCTGCAATTGTGACATCGTGTTTCATGATTCTTTTATCGGGGTTAACTAATGAGACTTGGTCAAAAGGAGTTTCAATAATAGCACGAGTTGTTATAATTTTGCTTGTTTCATCTTCAGAATCACTCGACGGAATTGAGTTTATACCTTCAAATCTCATTTTCATTAAAGATGTACGTTTTTTTTTTATTTTAATTTCTTCTTCTGAGTCCGGAATCCATGACGATCCAGAATCAGAAAAAGGTTCTTCATCTGTCGAAGGTGGCATTGGTTCGACACCCGAAATGGGACTTGACCCTCTGACTGGTGAACTGACATCTTTATAGTTGTATACTGATATGTTCTCATCTTCATTTAAATTAATTTTACTGCTACACAAAGACATGGGACTGACATTTACGGGCATAGGTGCTGATTGGGGTGGTTTAATGTTATTAGAAATCATTTCGCTAGCCATTATTGAAGCAGGAGCCGATTCGCATGTAATAATCTTAAATTCGTCATGTTCAGGAAGGTTAAGAACATCAGGCGTAATATCAACAGCGAAATTTATGTCATTGGAAACATGATTGTTAATTTCAGATGGTGATTTCTGGCATGTTATAATGTTATGTTTTTGTGGGCTGACGGTACTCTGCTCCTGTTGTTTTATCGTCTTATTTTCACCCTAAAACAATAAGAAGCCATATTGTAGGTATTTCATTACGAAAAAAGAAAAACAATAACAACTTGACAAGAGTTTATGCCGTCATGTGATAGCATACTCAAATCCATACCTGCTCTATGTTTTATTGAGTATTAAAAAACATCCATACAAATAAAAATAGGTAAACTGATTTGGTCACCCATACACCGTTGCTTAAACTGTCAAACACCGCGAGGACACCGGTGACCGCAATCTATTGTTCTTTAATTGTGTCTATAATTACGGTACTCAACGAGTTAATCTCGATTTAGTATTTGTTGTCGAGGTAGGAGTAGGTAGATTGATTTTATATACTTGCGTCAAGATATTATGATATGGACATGCCATTTTATCAGAGGCATATTTACATTACCTCATAAAATAACGCACTATCCTCTACGTTCGACTTCAAAGACCTTAAATCGATCTACCTACTCCGACCTCAAAATGTCAACTTTCTAGGTATCACGATTCATTATATAGCCTGGTGACAAACTGACGGACAGACATACAGACAGACAGCGGAATCTTAGTAAATGGGTTCGGCTTTTACCCTATGGGTACGGAACCCTAAAAATGTTTAACAAAATTACCTAAAAAAAAAATACGCAACAAGCGAAAAGTAACTTTAAACCTTCAGCTTAAGGATCAAAATTCAAATGAAAGCAGAAGAGTTATTAACTTCTCCCACAACTTAAAGTGATTCATATTATTCAAATTAGCTTAACTTAGGAAATAATAAAAAATAATTATTTCAGTATTATGATAACATGAATCAGTCTTGGTTTCGTGGGAGATGCACTGAAGCTTTCTACTTACAAAAAAATGGTTCTAATTCATCGTAGCTACATACCTTAGATGAATTATCTTCTTGGCACATTTTCACCATAAATCTACCCCGCGAATCCATTATAGTGTAAAACTCTCACTCTAGTCACTGACGTCAACGCAATTGAAGGTTACGCATTACACTAAAATGCTTGTGACGCGAGCGATGCATCAGTCACACGCGCTGACACCCGCGCTTCCCCCCGCGCACTTTTTTGTTCCGATTCACTACAATACTTCGCGTGGCAATTATAAATAACTTAATCTATTTGATTTTATTTGCCCATCATCTTGTAATTAATAATTATCTAGTTGTAGAAGAAATAGACAACATGAAGTGTTTATAAAGTAATGTACGTTTTGACAGAATTCTGAGTAGCAAAATTAAATAAGTAGAGTTATTTAGTTTTCCTAGAACTTTGTTAGTTTTATGATAGAATTTGTAATTTGAAAACAAATTAACAACTTATTTTATTTAGTTTATTAAAAATTTAATTAATCATTGACCTTAGTTATTGATTTATTTATTGAGTTGTTTATTTTTCCTTCAAAAAATTTGATTTAGTTTGAAGATATGCATTATTCCATCTGAACGACAAAAATGGCTATATTTTTGGAACGGAATTAGATAAGTAAATTCCTGTAAGACTCAAACATGCGTCATGTTTTGGGTTATTTAAAAATAAGGAAAAGGCAAAATGGCCAAAAACGAAGTTATTTAGTTTTCCAAATACGGGGACGATATTTCGGTGACTCATATAAATTTATAGATTCTTATTCTTTATTACAATGTACGGTGAGCATCAAAAGTTGATGAACAGATTTAGATTTTTTTAAATCGATGTACACCATATCATACGTAAATTGGCGAACATGTTAAGCACCTTAACTCGTTGAGTACCGTCTTTTTAGACACAATTATAGAACAATAGGTTGCGGTCACCAGTGACCGCTTGGTGTTTGACAGTTTAAATGCAACGCAAGATAATTATTTATTTTTGGCGCTTGTCATATTGACCGATCTACGCAATACGGCGTACCTACTGCGATTTTTAAAATCGAAATGTGTTCATCAACTTTTGATGCTGACCGTACCTATCCAATGAATTAGTAAAGTTATGCTCATTACAAAAAAATACTAGTAGGTATTTACGCCAGATTCAACAACAAGTTTGACATAATGATATTTTCTGATTAATCTTGACATTTCATATGGTTTGGGTTCTGACATGAAGTTGAATTTTATTTTATTTTATTATATTTCTTTTAGTGTTGACATGGATTTAAATGTGTATTTGTAATATTGATATAATGGTCTTAAAACAAATTAATTAATTGCTGTCATTGGTGTAACCGTTGTAATTAATATAAATAAATAAATAAATAAATAAATAAATAAACAGTCCCCGAGAAACTGTGTAGTAGGCATATTTAATCTCGAAAACCATAATACTATTGTTCAATTATCCGCGCTATTCTGCATTTCAAAACTAATCTTCTAGTTACAAAAAAATATACGAATAAAATGTCAAAATGCCAAAACCAAAAATGTCAAAATGCGCACCTGACATTCTTCTCACTTCCGTCGTCACTTAGTGGCGCAAGTGTCGCAGTTACTTATTTTTTGGAAAACAATATTTTACTTCAAATACCTTAAATAAAACCTTATTATGTGATTACAAGAAGTACCTACCTTATTTTTTTTTCTTACCACTGGTTTACATTGTGAAAATATTCATTTCTTCATTAGTAACTTTTAAAAATAAGAAAAAAATATGTACACCTTAAAATACACTAAAACTAATAGAGAAAATTAAATAATTTAAATATAAAGAAAAGGAAAGAAAACAAAAAATAATGTCAAATCTCAATTGACTGACTAATTTTGGCTGCATTTTCCTTGTCGTGATAATAGACATTGCATAATATTTTATGGTATTGTTTAACCTACCGTCCTACACAAAATCGCTTCGCTTCTAATATTATAAAATGTTATTATAATAGTCTTCATATAATAGTCTTTAGTTCATATTTGGAGCTGAGTTTCCAGAGCGACGCCATAAATCAAATCGCCAAAATCGGTTTTTTTAACAGATAGAGATTCTTAAGGAAGGTTTATATGTATAATATAATTATGCATATTGCACCCGTGCGGAGCTGGGGCGGGTCTAATAATAATGAAATCAAAAATTTCGGATTGAGATCTATATCGGGCAATTTTAGTTCTATAAAATTTCTATCAAAAACTCAAATCGTTTCCAGATATTTTAGGAAAAGGTAATGGATGTCTCTATAGCTACCATGTCGGGCCCCTTCTGGTAAAAAACCTTCAAAATGTGCCCAGCTTTTTAGGGAGAAAGACCATGGAGTTTGAGATTTTGAGGTTTTAGTGAGCTGAAAATATGGCCACCTTCAGCACCGTTAAGGGACACCTGGTCCTCTAATAGAACTGTGTAATGTGCAACGTCTGTTGCAGCACATCTCTAGAAAGACCTGCATCTTCCAAGAGCTTAACAGTTGCACGGCAGCAGGTTACCACTTCGCTATCGTCTTCCCTGAGGCTGCTGGATGGGCTGAATGAACAAACTAATTTAATAATAACTAATTTATTCTGAAATCGGGTTTAATTTTTAAGTTTTGTTTTTAACTGTACGAGATTTTTTTTTGCCCTAAATGTCAATGAAAATATACATTGAAAATGTGTAATTTCGGACTTAAGTAGCAGAAATTTTCTCCCAAACATTGCTGTTACTTGCCAACTAGTCAAATTCAATACTTTTTCGAACTGTCAAAAATTATGGTTTTCTACGAATTTTGTACGAGATTGTGTATTGTGACGTCACGTTTTTTTAGCGTCAAACAACATACTTATTTCTTAAAAATTTGCTAGAAAAATACTAAAATTATGTTGGTCATAAAAACAATTAATGAAATTGTGATTATTTTTTTACATTGAACAGTAGAAATAGTATTTTATTTTTGATTAAGGAAAGTACCCAATAAATAAGTTTGTGACGTCATTTTATGTTATCTGTATCTAGTTACGTAGCCAATTATAATTTTGCGTCTAACAATGTACATGACTTTAGAGATATGGACACTAACTAGGTCCCACACACCACGCACACGTAATTGGCATGGAACATTTTCCTGGCCGAATCAATAGAGATTATGGCAACTGATAATGAATGTGGTTCTAATTAATTCGGTTTCTTAATTATTTCTGGGCTTATGTGACTCAATGTTTATCATAATCTGGTAAAGTTAGTTAGTTCTTTAGAACACGATCGGACAAGTTACCAGAATTATAAAAGCGCAAGTAAGCATCGTGTTTTGCGCGCGCCTCAAAGAGCCATCAGACCACCACAGATGGGGCCCAACAGGGCTGATGACGATAAGGAGCTGCGGAGAATATAAAAGGTTACCAGGGCTCCGGGTCGAAATGCTCAAGTAGAAGCGGGGTGGTTTTTAGTCAGTAACAGTCTGACTCTCTCTCCTGCCTTACCAGGGCGCGAGAAGTCATTCGATGATTATCCTCCCTTAAAATAGGTGTTTTATCTCTATCTCTAACTGCTGATATCAATTAGCAATTAATCCAAAGTCTGGATTTTTTTTAAGGGGGAAAATCATCGAATTTCTTCGACACTCTCCCGCCCCACCCAGGCGGGAGAGAATGTCAAACTCTTACTGACTAAAACCACCCTGTTCCTACTCCTGGACTTCGAGTCGAAGCCCCGGTAATCCGTTAAGTTCTCCGCGGCTCCACCCAAAGTCTGTATATGGATCTATTTTTGTCATTAGTTGAATGGTGTTTCTGTCTAAATTGATATTAACTCGTCGAGTACCAGTTTTGTAGACACAATTATAGAACAATAGGTTGCGGTCACCGGTGACCGCTTGGTGTTTGACAGTTTAATCCACATGTTTTGGAAATTGGCAATAGGTAAATAAGTTTTATCTACTTAACCAGTGTTCTTCTTGACATGTTACATTCATATCTGTAGTTTCACGTAGTCATAAATTGTAGGAAAAATTACGTGCGAGGCAGTCAGACACGGTGCGCGTTTTTGAACGTTTTCGCATTTTGCACTTTCGCACTTTTGATGCGCGTCGAGTGGTCGTATAAATATACATACAACGATACACAAGAGCGTATCTGTTGGCGACGAGCCGTGTAGTGTTTAGTATACTCCAACCTCTTGCCAAGTCAACACGTGTGTTGTGTTTAATTGTTTTATACATATTTTATCGTGTCTGTTTACTTTTATATCCGATTCCTTCCCGTGTCACTGAATAGATTTTTTACTTTTTTATTTGTTTATAAAAGTGGTTTAGTTCCAAATTATTGTACAATTATGTAAGTACCTAATCTTACTAATATTATAAACTAGCTGTGACCCGCGACTTCGTCCGCGTGATATAGCGACTTCTGTATAAATTGGGTTTTTTAAATTAGTCTTTGCTAAGATATATTCTACGGCTGTACGACTGTAACAATCGATTCATTACCTAGGGTGTATTTATTGAGAAATGAATTTATTTTGGCATTTATTGCACAGAGGTTTTACCCGTACAGCGCCCGTCTCGTGAGGTTTCAGTGATAAAACTATTCTATGTTTGCAAAACAATGTTGTATCGCATTTCAATCAAATAGACAGGGATTTTAACGCACAGTTCCCAGCTTCGTGGGGTTTACGGGTTGAAAACTTTTAGATGTCCTTTCCCGGGTCTCAAACTAGTCTCTATGTGAAATATGGCTGAAATTGATAATAATGATCTCAATTCGAAGTCTTTGAATTGATGCACGCTACACAACTTCAACTGTATAGTTTTTACCATAGTGAATAGGATGTTTATGAGCAGATGTGCTCCATCATAGGCCGCATCATCGCTTACCATCACGTGAGATAGTGGTCAAATGTCGGTCTATCAAATATAAATAAAAAAACTGTACAGTCAGACTGAACAGTTAGATCGTAAGGCATGTAGGCTATCCGAGCGTACGGCGCGTCGCGTTCCGCGCGCCTCAAAGAACCATCAGACCACCACAGATGGGGCCCAATAGGGCCGATGCCGATTCGGCGTCGCGGAGAACCTAACGGGTAACCGGGGCTCCGGCTCGACGTGCCGAAGAAGGAACGGGGTGGTTTTTAGTCAATAAGAGTCTGACACTCCCTACTGCCTCACCCAGGCGGAAGCAGACATTCAATGATTTCCCCCCTTAAAAAAAGGCATGTAAGCTGTATGGACCTTTTTTTTGGTGACGGCATAAAAGGTATCTAGCTTCTTTGGGGTGAAAAAACTGATAAGCATGGGATGTCATGGGATTTTTACATCATGACTTTTATCGCCGAAGTGATAGGCAGACGTGCACACACATCGTGCCACTGCACAATGTAACACCCACTTTTTACTATTTATATTATGAGTCCCATGTAATAGGGGGTGAGCCTATTGCCATATACCGGACACTATTCCAGACTCCGTCCTACTACTATTGCGGCA